ATTGAAGAAACTAAACTAAAACTAGTTTTAGTGAACCCTAATCAACATTTGATTTCGGAAAATCGACTATATTATGTATATCATACTTTACGCAAAATTGTAAAAATTCCAGGGATTTTGTGCCTCACAACGGTTGACTTTAGCGAAAATTTTCATAAAACCTTTTATATAGAAAATTTTATTCTCTTTAATTTTGATCTCCTCAAATTTTCGCGAAAAACGCATAGTTTTCGAGATATTCACAAAATACCGATTTTGGGCGCCATCTTGGCAAGATGGCGGCGCCGGCGGCAAGTATGTAAATGTGACCCTAAAACCTATAAACCTGCAAAGTTTCAAAACTAAGTTTTTCGGACTTTTTTCCAAGCAGGCCCCTTTTTTGATCCCCAATGACTGAACTAATAGTGTTGTATTTGAAATAACGAAGTTTTGATGTAAAATAGATATTTAAAATAGACCAGCAATTTTTGATACCCCTGTATACATTTAAGAAGGCAATAAAAATTTTTAGTAAAGCTTATTTCTCTGGCTTCAAAGTCAGCACAAGAATTAACTCAACAAGAAAAGTAATGTATAGGGCGTTGACAAACTTTTTTATTATATCATGCATATTTAAATATCTTTGAATATCTCAAAAACCAAAGCATTTAAACATATTAAACCCTTATAATAAATGCCTCATTTTATACCCAAGAATCCAAAAATGAAATAAAATACCGGGTGTTCCATAAGAAAAATTATAACTTTGGTAAGGATCATAGTTCTGACAGACCCTGTACTTTTGAAAATAATTTTAAATTATGCACATTGCCTCTCTACATATACCCATAAAAAAATTTGTTTCTACATCTTTCCGTTTCCGTTTCGCGCCACCCTGTATAATTATTCTAAAAGGAAACTCACGGTTAGTTAATTCCAACTTTACCCAAAAACAGTTAGTCGGTTGTTAAATCTCCAATTTAGAATTAAAAAAGAGCTTTTTCGGACAGAATAGATTATCCAGAAACAGACCTCTGCTTTGCATAATGTAAGAAAAGGTCTAAAGCTCTAAACAAGGACAAATCCGATCGGATACAGTAAACACCATTACCCGAATGGACGGCGTTATTTAAACAGAGGGAAGGTTTCAGTAAGGTCACCCTTGAGGGAGACAAAAACAAAGGGAAAGGTCGATTATATAACAGTTTGTGAAGGTATAGGCTCATTTACATTTGTAACGTTTAATGATAATCTTATGTAGATCATCTCTAATTTTTATTTTATCTAAAGTGTACAGGGTGTCTTATTTTCGTGTGTTTCTCAGGGTTTCTCATTTATGTGTAGAGCTACTGTGCTACGTTTTTATGAAACTAAAGATGCTACACACCCATTTATTCTAGACCTCTTAGTTCCTGAAATACAGGGCGATATTGAAAATGTTGCATTTTTCGACTCCCTTCATATCTTGGTTATATTATAACTTATTAAAAAGGTGAAAATTGAGTCCTATATAGTTTTTCACGTAAAATTCAATGGCGTAACTAGATTTTTCTGTGAGCTGTCATTTTTGAAATATGAACCAAGCCCAAGAACAGTTAACCTAATAGGACTGCTCATTCAGCCAAAAGTGTCCGCCAGGTCCATGCGAAAACTACTCGCTTTGTGACGTCATTGTAGCCCTTGTCATGGTTATTAGTCCTTATCCGGCAACCAATAATACACACGTGCATTATTGGTTACCGAATGCAAAACGTTCATTATTTAGTTTATTTATTTAAACACCTTATATGTATGCAGTATAGAAAATTAACTGTATAAATCGTATTAAATACTCGGATAATGCATTTTTAAAAACAGCAGTTCCCAGCATCACCTTTTGCAAGCATTCTTTTTAGAGTACTTCCATATTTTGCTTTAAAATAATTAATAATAATATATAAAAATATAAAATATAAAATCGTGGGCACTTAGTATGCACTTTGTCACAATCCACAACACAAAATGAACGTATTTATACACTCTATAGCTCTAAAAACTTTAAAGACACCTTTTTCACATTTAAAATTGACAAAATAATTAACTCAAAATTTCTCAGCTGTTATTTTTATAAGTTTACCATAAGCAACTAATAATACACACTATCATGACAAGGCCACGAAGGCTTTGACAAGGGCTACAATGACGTCACAACTGTCAGCTGAAGCGCGGGAAGAGGCGAACGTACGTCTTATGAGGATGAGCAGTTCTATTAGGTTAACTGTTCTTGAACCAAGTTTATGTTTTTTTAATGCGATACCCTGTATTTTATATTTTTATTTTATTTGTTCTATTATGGGCTTTCTAAAAATATAACATACTTTCTCTATACTTATTTTCATAAACAAAGTACTATTGGCTATTCTACGCTAGATTCTGAGGGTAGAATTATGGCACAAGTGCATTAAAAATATCAATATCTCTGATTGACGCCGTGTTATCTAAAATTTGCACAAGTTTATTTTCAATGCAGTTTATTAGGATAACAGGATGGAAAGCAAAATTATCTGGTTAAATTAAATTATAATAATAATAGCTCCCGTATATAGTGTTTAACGCCTTGGGAGTAGCAAGGTACAGCTTGCTATACTAGAGCCGTTCGGTATACAAGGAAGGTAATTTGGCTAGCACTACGCTTCAACCGCCTATTATTACCTCAGGATTGTGAATCCCAAGTACTTATTTAAGGCTGAGTCGACCTAGGGACCCAAACTATTTTTATTTTAATAAAAATAGTCGGCTGATGAAATGCCGGGTGTGGGTATCGAACCCACACCTTAAGATTGGTAGACGAGAGCCTGTACCTCTACGCCACCGGGCACCTAAATTAAATTAATAAAATGATAATATTTTAAACTAGGTTGATTTATGTTAAAAAGCTAAAAAAATATTTTTTTCACCTTGTTTATGAAAATAAGCATAGAATATATTGTTAAGGTGTATGGCGACATCTGTCGGGGAACTGTAGACGTTAGGAAAAAAGTTCTGTAATTCCGAAACCAGACGGCGGAAATTGCTAGAACCAAAAATAATATTACATATAATTTCCGAAAGTTCTAGAATCAGTCGCTACAGTATACAGGGTGGTCCGAACTGTATTCCGGAAACTTTGGCAGCATATTTTACAGATAAAAATAAGTAAAAAAGTTCGTATAAATGTATGTCCAAAAATGCTTTGTTTCGGAGATACAGGGTATAGAAATTTCATTTTTATTTCGTTTTTTTTTCAAAATAATTTCTGAACTAACTGGGATTATTGGATGAAAATTGGTGTCTGGGAGTTTTTTGACATGAGAAATTTGTTTTTGATGTTAATATGACTCCTACTTGTAGAGAGCGCCACTCCCATATTTTTAATTGGTTTGAAGAGTATTAACTTTTCGACAGTAACTGTATAAAACTACTGTGTTAAAAAATATACATTTACGAGGTTTTCAACGTAAAAAAGATCTCTTAGTAAAAATCGCTAAATCGTAATGGTTCTCGAGATATTTGGAATCGAAATTATCAATACCTATCATCATTGACATAAATTAAACATGTTGACTAAATATTTGTTAGACTGAATTATGGGGTGTAGAGGTAAGGAGAAATAACTCCGTGCATTAAAAAATGGTCAAAAAAAGGGAAGAATTAGGATGGCGCTGCTGTAGCAAGATTCTAAAATTTAAGACATGCGCCGAACATTTTAGAACAGATGATTCAAGACATAAATATTTGACGTGAAGCAAACGCGAAGCCGCGGGTTTAAAAAATAAATTTTATTTTCATGTTGCATGAAATAAATTACAGATTTTTATTCAGCAGCAATACACTAGGCCCTTTTTTATTGTTTCTCATAACTTATTTCGCAAATGTCATTCAAGACGACGAAAAAATATTCTTATCGTTTTAGCTTAAAATTAATGGTAATTATAATTAAGACAAATTTTATTTAAAGTAATGATTGGTGATGGGTTTAAAATAAATATAATGCAGCTTTAAAATAACTTCATATCTACATTTATTTAGTATAAAAGTAAGTCAATATGTGGTTTTATTATTGATTATTCAGATATCAGAGCCTCTTTTTATTGTTTCTCATAAGTTATTTCGTAAATCTCATTCAAGATGAAAAAGCTTTAGTTTAAAATTAATGTTAATTATAATTAGAAAAACTTTATTAAAAGTTTAATTGATGATATGGGATTTAAATAAATATAATGCAGGTCAAAAATAACGTAACACATTTTCTGTAGTATAAAAATTAAGCCAATATAATATAATTTTATACTGTACAAGTATTTATTTACGTTTTGCTCCATCGTAGTTGCCATTCATTCAAAATAGTGGATTTTAAATGTTCGATAGTCGGATGGCTTAACTACCTTAATATCAACTACTTCTAGACAAGAATCGTGTGCAGTATTATCTTCTTTTCACTCCCAGCTATTCCAACATGGCTTGGGACGTGGAATAATAATATAATTTTATAGCCCTTCCAGATGCTCATGTCTTCCTAGTTCACCCAATAGAATCGTCTCGCAGCTTCCTTCCAAGTTGGTAGTTGCTATTCATTCAGAATAGTGGATTTTAAATATATTTGGTAGTCGGATGGTTTAACTATCATAACTATAACTACTTTTAATAATTCTTTTTCTCAATTCTTTGCACTATAATTTGCATCCCACGTATTGTAATATTTTCCTTTGAATTTCGTTTCCTATTGTTCCATGGCTTGAGACGTAATGTTATAGCCCTTCCAGATCCTCATGTATATGTCCCTTTTTCTTGTAGTCCACCCAATAGAACCTTTCTCTTAGCTTCCTCTCAAGTTGGTTCATTAAGAATAGTGGATTTTAAATATGTTTTGTATTCGGATGGTTTAACTACTGTAACATCATAAATAAATTGTATACCAACACATAATGGCCAAACTTCAACAGACTTTAATATTCATAAGCCTCATCAGAAGAAAATATTTTTTGATCCAAAGTTTCTTTTTCATTATTAGAATAAATTACCTGCAATTTGTTAATTCATTACAACATTGAATAAAAGATGCAAAGTGTTTATACATACTATAATAGATAAATCTTCATTTTAAATTATGTGATAGATCTGCTTGCTTGTAGGATCTAGACTCATAAACTCAATAATTTCTTTTATTGATATAACCAATAAAGTGGTAATGATGAAATTTTGTTTTTGATTTGAGCAGTAGGGTCCATTATTTCCATTATTTGATGCTGTTATTGCTCTACAAAATGTTGATCTTTATCAAGGGATGTTTATGTGTATAATATTATTATTTATGTGTATAATAATACTGTATGATCGAAAAAACACGGCGTCCAGTGGGCTTGGAAATGAACATCTCGATGACATTCTCCATATCATTTTACATATAAAATGACAGCAATCTTCATTTCATAGGCATCGCTGACGCCGTTTTTTATTCGATCGATCAAATTGTACTTACGTGTGTAATATTCATTTAATGGTTCCTGTTTTAGTTGCTGGTGTTCATATTTTGGTTTTTTATTGTGTTGTTGCTCTACAAAATGTTAATATTTATGTGTATAACATTACTCTTTCTGTGTATAATAATACCGTATGATCGAATAAAAACGGCGTCAGCGATGGCTATGAAATGAAGATCGCTGTCATTTTATATGTAAATTTATATAGGAAATGCCATCGATCGTCATGTCCAAGCCAACTGGACGCCGTTTTTATTCAATCATACGGTACTTATGTGTATAATATTCATTTAATGGCGCCCTTCTTGCTTGTTGCTGTTGTTGCAATTCAGAATTTAAATTAACCTGAGGCAGTAGGTAGAGCTTCATCCTCCAATATTTTCCTATGTAAATACTGAAGTGGACAGTATTTCTGATGACAATTTTATCACAAACTTTAACATCTTGTTCTTTAAAGTGAAACTGCCATACCTTATCTGTAGATTTCAAAGCAATATCTAAATGTTTTTGACCATCACTGTAATCTAATTCTTGTCTGAAAATCAATACCTAATATTATCCTGATGATTTTGATTTTTGATAGATTATTAAAATACAGCACTTACAGTTAACTATATTTCTTGAAAGTACCTACAATTTTATGTATTTCCTACTTTTACTTGTTTAAAAAATGCCAACAATTTGTACATATCTGTCAAACTTTAAAATCATTAAAAATAAATTTTATTTAGGTTGTAACTTTATAAAAGGATTGTAAAAATATACTTTGTAACATGTATGTCAATAATCTTACGAAAATGTTTACTACACTTTTGATTGACTCTAATTTTACATATAATACAAATAATACAATACTGAATTATATTATGTATTTTACATACCGTAGGCTTTGCCTTTGCTCTTTATTTTTCCATCAGCTATTCAATCAACTACGCACCACACACACTTTAACCATTGTTAAATAATAAATAAAGCACAAAATATTGATAAACAATAATTATTTTATATTCAAAAACTCTGTCTGAAAAATAAAAACAAAATTTTTTTGGGTAATGTTTGGTTATATTTATTTTTATTCTCTTATCTATGGTTACTTTTCATTTTTTAGAATCATGCGTTTTTAGCGCCACTGTGGTTATTTGGCGAACCCTTATTCTTCCCATTTTGTGACCACTTTTTCAATAAAAGTCCCGTAAGAGTTGTTTCTCCTCACCTCTACACTCCATAGACTGAATTCATAAATTTGAAATGTTTTTGTGTTCAACAGAAATTGTTTTATCATAATTTTTTCCCAGAAAATATTATGATCAATTTAAAAAAATAAAAATTTCTTTAATTTCTTATTTCAGTCGAATATAACTCAATTTAATTTTAACTATCTACTCAATGTGTTTATTTTTTGTCAATAATGACATGTATTGACTATTTCTATTGTAAATATTTTCAGAACGGTTGATCGTAGCGATTAGCGAGCCAAGAGACATTTTTTTCGTAGAAAGTCCCGTAAATGTATATTTTTTCACTCAGTAGTTTTATACAGGTGCGGACGAAAAGTTATTACACTTCAAAACAGCTAAAACACATGTAGGTGGCGCCCGCTACAAATGGTAGTCATATTCACATCAAAATCAAATTTCTCAAGTCAAAAAACTTCCAGACACCAATTTTCATTCAAATATTGACGTTACTTCAGAAATTATTTGGGAAAAATCGAAATAAATATGAAATTTCTACACCCTGTATCGAAACTAAGCATTTTAGTATATATATACATTTATACAAACTTTTTAACTTATTTTCATCTACAGAATATGCTGCCGTAGTTTCCGGAATACAATTCGGACCACCCTATATAAGGCGCAGTTTAGTCAGTTTTTGAACCAGTGGCGTAACAACAGACTCACGGACCTGTGTGCTAAAATTTTACCGGGCCCCCTATTACACCTACATATTTCAATACTAATCTGAATAATATGCACTCATATTTTAGGTTAGACATAACATTATCAAATTAATTTTTATATAGTATTATTTGTTACTGCAACTCAGACTTATGTAACCCAAAACATATAAAATATCAAATAAATAAAATCAAAACAAAAAACAACAACAAAACTAACTAAATTAAAATAAACAATGTAAATAGGAACATGAACATGTTAAGAAAGAAGTATTGGGAATTGCCGTCATAACCAGCACAGGTAATCGCGATATTATTTGAAACAAGAACAAATTGAATTTAAGTGCTATAGCAATTTTTTTATGCCCTTCGTATGCAGGGTGCGATAATAAGATATTTTTTTACGAATGGAATACCTTGTACCTACAGGGTATCCCATTTTCATGTGTTTTGTTACCCTTATGAATAGGTTTTCACAATAGTCGGCTACTTTTTGACAAAATGAGAGATGCCCTAATAGGATTTGTCGTGGCCCTCTTAGTTACTGAGCTACAGGGTGATTTTAAAAAAGTGGCAGTTTCGGGGCACCTCTCGTAACTCAGCTGCCTTATCGTCCCCTTAATACAACCATTAGGTAACTAGACTTTTTGTGATTTTGAGTTAACTAGTTTGGCCAGTATAATTTTTCTTGCTCTTTTTGATGCTACAACTAGCTTAGTTTTATTTCTATTTGATGGTACAGAAATCCAGTGACAATACAGCAAATTTACTTTTTGTCAAATTTAATGCTCTAATGAAAAATCACATATTTCCAGTTATTTTTATTTTGCAAAATAAAAAGGAATACACAGCTACAAAATTGCACAAGAACAAGTATAAAGTAATAAGTTATTTTCGCGATAGCGTGTGCTAGTGAAGTAGTTAAGAAGACATGTGATAGATAAGAACTTAGTTCGGGATCGCCCGATTCTGCTTGATTCGCGATAGCATGTGATAGATATGGAAATACCCCGATATGGAAATACCCCGGGCCCGTGTGCTTCGCACACACGGCACATCGATAGTTACGCCACTGTTTTGAACAGTGCTCCGTAATAGCGAAATGTAGATTTGGCGAAGGTACCTATTACATAGAAAATCGTTAATTAGAGTTATTAGTATATTTGTATTGTATAGAGTGATTGTGTTTCTAGTTAAAAAATAAAGTCATTAAGTGTTTTATCGTGAGTTTGAATTAGGGGAACCACGGAATCCGTAACAATATTATATTTGTAGAAAGCTCATATAAGGCAAATAAAATTTTAAAAAAATACACAAAGTCTCACATTTAAGAAATAACACAAATTTAAGTCATATTTCGAAAATGAGCAGCTTCCAGCAAAACACTAGTTACGCCTACGCAAAATACTCTACGGAACTTAGTTTTCACCTTTTCGATAAGTTATAAGCAACGTTATAAGCTAATCAAAATACCAAGAGAATCAAAAAAGCAACATTTTCAAATGCGCCTTTGTAATTCAGAAATGAAGACAGCTAAGACAAATTTGTGTGTAGCATCTATAGTTTCATAAAAAAAGTAGTACAGTGATGTGAAAACCGCATTTTTGAATCTCTACTCATAAACGAGAAACCACATAAAACACAAATGTGACACCCAGAACTTTTTTAAGATTTGGCTTCGATTTCTAAATGCATGTTTAGTGACTAAAAACTCAGTTAAAATACGTTAAGTAAATTAAGTTCGGCCATAATTGCTTCCAAATTGTTTTGCCGTTGTTCAAGAAAACATCTCTTCTCAGAACTACTTAAAAGAGTCGTATCCAGAGTGTTCCCTCCTCCAGAATCCGTGAAACTAATTATCTGACTGCTGTGTACTTATTATTTTCATTTCGTTACACTTATTTAGCCTTAAAAGTTCCATGGTAGCGAGATATGGGAAGAACAGTGAGATTCAGGATGAAAGAACGGTAGAATGGGGAATTTCGTAAAATAAATTTGTCGGAAATAAATATAATTAGATACGTAAGCTCGGAGAAATACAAGACGTTGTTGAGCTAAAGCTTGAGAGAATTGGGATTTCCAAAATAAGGAGACACAAGACGCGTTTGTTATAGGAGATTGAGTATGTCTTTCGATTTTTAAAAAATATTTTGGGTAGACGATAAAATATTTATTTTATCGTTATAAGTATTCTGTATTATATACAGTTTAGATTGTAGATTTTGAGGGGGGGGAGGAAGTTAATCACCACGATCTTGTAGATCTATTCTGTCCCTTTCCCTCTCTTGAGTTATAACTCATCATACAGTCCCAGAGCTTTGACAAAAGCCAGTATCTGAAACTGTTTTACAGAGGTTAGTTTTACATCTGGGATATCAGTCGTACCAAAGTTTATAGCACGAATGGTTGTCATCTCGGTTCACTCAGTAATGAGATGTTCTGGTGTTTTCCCATTTTTCCCACAAAATCTGCATTTGATGTTGTTTCTTAGCTTTAATCTATAGTTCAGTCATTGGGGATTTTTGCTTGGAAAAAGGTCCGGAAGTTTTGCAACTTTGCAGGTTTATAGGTTTTGGGGTCCTAACTAAAATCCATAAAATGCACATTTCCAGACTTGCCGCCGGCGCCGCCATCTTGCCAAGATGGTGCCCAAAATCGGTATTTTATCGGAATGTCGATTAGGGTTCACTAAAACTAGTTTTAGTTTAGTTTCTTCAATTTTGTCATAAAACAGTGGCGTATCGCTCATTAATTTATAAATAATTAATTTTAATTATTGAAAATGTGTACTTGTTTCCACACCACCCAAGAGGTAAAGTACATGGCGCGTTTATTTTAACGTGGTCTCCCCGGAGGCCTACTCATTAGATAAATTAAAAACTTTAACTTATCTGCACAAGCCCGATGGATTTGACTCATTGATGTCAAAGTCGATCGTGTCTGCTGTGCTGGGCTCATCAGGGTGGTCTCTCAATACGTCCAACTCTTCATCTTCAGCCGCCAGAGGGATATCTACAGGCAAGTCCAACTCCTCTTCATCGGATTCATCGAGTGACACTTCAGTGACGTTGTCACAGGATTTCCCATTGCAATATGCACAAATCATTGAATATTTTAACCCTGCTTTTCTGCATCCGCGGGCTTTACCATAGTTGTTGGTTTTGCATTTACAGAATAAAAATGCCAATAGGGATTTTAGAGCTGCATCTTTCAACGTTTTGGCTGGAGTAATGCCTGTTATTGTTTTCTTCTAACCCCATTCATCGGCATCTTTTGTACAACCAGACCAATGCTGAACCTGGTGGTAAGTTCGCAATGAATGCTGTCCAGCACAAAGACATCTAAATATAGGTAGACAGAACACTCCATTCATAAAACTCAATTTTTTAGAATCATACATGGTTTGGCACTTTTATGAGAGTTAAAAAGAGATGGGTACATAAATATGACAACACGGTTGAGTTTCGTCTGTCTTTCTGTCATTTCACTCCATCAGTGGCGTGACGGTGGTGATTTCGGAAAATCGACTATATTATGTATTTCATACTTTACGCAAAATTGTA